AAATGTAACGCAGGGAATTCTGAGAATGTCAATTTACCGTTATTCACTATAAATTATACAGTCTTTTTTACTTCCAAAAACGGTATACTAAATTAATGTCCAATACATGTAATGTCCAATACAATTTTTCCCTGTATATAGTAGGGGAATTTACCGTTAACCATTTAACAGGTTTTTACTGTAGCATTTTTACAGTCTTTTACCGTTAAATTCACGGTCATTTTTTACAGTGTATGGCTTTAATCCGCGGACTAAAAAACAACCGGCACCAACAGATTAGCCCAATTCCGCACTAAAACCGTGGACTTGGCAACACTTGGCTGTCAATGTGTTTTTATCGTTTTGAAAGTGATTCCTCTGTGTCGTTATCTTTGTAGTTGTGGTGTGAACTTCTTTCGTCCGTGGTGAGAACGGGTCTTTAGTCTGACGACGTGGACATTTTAAGGCCTAAACACATACCACAGAACAGACGTCTGGTCCTCGTTTGGACAAAGCGCCATCTTAAAACAGGAAGAATTGTATTATAAAACCACAAGAAACCTAAAAAAGTTCCTCTATTCAAAATAATATACAAATGAGGAAAAAAAAAAAGAAGTGATATCCATGGGGAGTTTTCACCAATGTAATGCGACAGTGCAATAAATCTTGTGAAATTGGATTTGAGACATTAGCAATGAAATAGTGAATTGAATGGAATATATACGTGTTAGAACTGACTGTGTTTTTGTCTAAGCCTCCAGATTACTAAAGCCAGTATCAGTAACACAAGTAGCGGCACAGCAGTATAGAGGAGAAAAATCCAGTCCATCTGCTCAGATGGGCCGTCAGGAGAGCAGTTGCTGTCCTCTTTATCATTGCTTGCTGTTTGGTTTCTGCATATGGAGCTGTTATTAAAAATGTAATGCATTAATGGGTTTAAAATGTGAATATAAACATAATTATGAAAAGTTGCTTTTTAATCAGGTAAATATTTTTACCTTTAACTAAATGTGGTAATCTGACTTGATAAATTCAGGATTTACTTACGGAAATAGACCAGCATCATCACTTTCAGCTGAGGTCAGATGACAAAAAAGCAAAAGATAATTTTTTAAAATAAATATTATAAATATAAAGAACACACTTCAAATATAAATAAATGCATTAAGTCTAATGTAAATGAAATGTTTTTTAAAGTATAACTGGACTTACACGTACTTTTATATTCATTGTCGCTCTGAACAAGGAGGTGAACAGGAACTTGCAGATCTCCTACAGAACAGAAGTACCAGCCAGAATCAGTCAGTCTCAGTCCAGTCATCAGCACAGTGAAGGATCTTCTCCCATCATCACTGATCTGGACTGATGAATTCTGGGATGTGTTAGTCCTCCCCACAGTGTAACAGCGCTGATCTTTATATCTGCACCACTGTTTGAGTTTATCCTGATATCTAGGACTGTAGAGACACTGAACACTGATATCACCACCTTCATGTCCAGATACACTGCTGTTCACCACAGACACATCTGGGTCTGAACGCAGAGAGCAAAAATATTCTATATTAAACAAAACAATGTAGTGGAAATTTGAAAAATAATGTTAATGCACCACAAATAATATACTTACCTTTTTTAACAGTTACATACAAATATTTTCTGTCATCTGGTTCTGCATGAGTTCCGATCTCCACAGCACACCAATAATATCCAGAGTCTGAGGACGTCGGATTGTTGAGTTTCACAGTAAAAATACTGTGTGCTGGATAATCAGTTATTGTCCATTTCCCTGTAGCATTTGCACGGGCTGTATTTTTGCAAGAATGCCAAAAATACCCTTTACACCAGTATTTTGGGTTTAGTTTATACTGATTGTCATACAGACAGGGGATTGTAATGGTTCCTCCTTCTCTTACAGTTACATGATCCAATGTCTTCATGCTCAAAGTTCCTGCAACACACACACACACACACACACACACACACACACACACACACACCTCATCACCACCAAAATTCTCTTTTGGGTTCCAAATAAAAAAGAACATTTTGTAAAAAAAAAAAAAAAATTCAA